TATTATTATTATTATTATTATTATTATTATTATTATTATTATTATTATTACACTCTGATGCTAAGGAGTTCTACTCCCCCTCCTCACCTGAAAAGAAATCTCTTCCAAATGCAAAATACAAGCAGAGGAAAGGAGTTACAGTTTTAGTTTCACAGCACCAAGCAGCTTTAGTACAGAACAGCTGAGCTAAGCCACGCCCAGTCTCCTTGCTGTCTCCTTGCTCACACAGCAAATACTGTCTCACTTTCCAAACAGCCCTCAACTCTCTCACACGCTGACGGGATGAATACCGATGGATGCTGGTGGGCAGAGGCAGATTTTTTCCCCCCACCCCTTATTTTCCTCCCCAAAAGCTAAGCCCAATCACATAGTTTCGTAGTAAAGCACGCGGATCGAGCTAGTATAAATATATGAAAAGAGAAACATCCCTTTGGCTGTTACTCCCCGGCTCTGCATGATTGTAAGCAGCGTTGTCAAAACAAGACAAGCTTACAGCCCTTGCCGTATGACTAGGGATGATGGGTGCTGTAGTCCAGCTGCCCCAGAGGGTCCCGGGATTGGGAAGGCCGTGCTAAATGGGAGCTGGGAACCTTTGCCAACCTAGATGAAGCTACCCCATGGCTTCCTTCTAACTCTACCCCTGAAATAGCTTCTTATCGGATGATCATTATCATTTAATGACCCCATAATCCCATGTAGGATGGAGTCTGGGCCACTGAATAGAGCTAGCAGAACGCTGAATGGCCAGATGCCTTTCCTGTCGCCAGGGCGGGAGTTCTGTTCGGCAGATATATTCTCGTCGTGCCCAGAGAGAGAAACATCTGCCTCTACCTGGGATCGAACTCATTGCGAGGTGAGAGCTCCACCTCTGGGCCACCGCGCCACTCTTCTGCTTCTCGCTGGATGGTGACCCTATGGAATTTCTGGGGTTTTCAGCTTTACCTGAAGGTTACGGGGGAAATCTTGCCCATCAAAGCGTAAGCGGTGACACTTTGGAGGTGGAACAGCACTCCGTCCATCAGGAGCAACACCACAATGTCCTGGTTGTACTGGAAACTCCGCCCGCTTTTCCCAATCACTGGCATATCCTTTCAGGTGGGAAGAGAAGGAACGAAACAGAAGAGAAGGAGAGGGCAGGCGGTTAAAAGGGAGGGAGGGAGGGAGCGTCAGGAGCTCAGCTCGAGGTCCTTCTGGATGCAAAGCGGAGAGTCCTGCCCTGTTTTCTCCCAATTTTACGTCATATGGCATGAAAGGCCGTGGGAGGGCTGAATGAAACAGCCCTTTATCAACCTGGGACTGGCAACGCAAAGCTGAGTGTTATGTCGTTTTCCAGCATATAGGTATGATGCTCAAGGGATGTTTTCCCCTCTTCCCAGCAGGTGGCCGGAAGGAGCAGAAAGGAGAAAGGGAAAAAAGGCGAGAGCGGGGGAAAGGAAGGGAAACAAATGAAGAGAAAGAGACGGAAGAGACGAAATAAGGATGCAAGAATGAATGTAAGAAAGGAGGATGGAGAGAGGTAGAGAGGGAAGGAAGGGAGGGAGATGAGAACGGGGGAAAAGAGGGAAGGTAGGAAGGAAGATGGGAACGGAAAAAGGGAAAGGGAGGGAGGGAGGAAGAGATGGCAAGGAAGGAAGATAGATGAGAACAGGAAAAGGGGGGAAGGAAGGAAGGAAGAGATGGGAAGGAAGGAAGGAAGGAAGGAAGATGAGAACAGGAAAAAGGGGGAAGGAAAGAAGGAAGATGGGAAGGAAGGAAGAAAGGAAGGAAGGAAGATGAGAACGGGGAAGGAAGGAAGGAAGGAAGGAAGGAAGGAAAGGAAGGAAAGAAGGTAGAAAGTTGAGAACAGGAAAAAGGGGAAAGGAAGGAAGGAAGAGATGGAGGGAGGGTGGAAGGAAGGAAGGAAGGAAGGAAGGAAGGAAGGAAGGAAGGAAGGA